CTTTTAGAGCAAAGCCAAATAGTAGACATTGTAGAAGTAGGACATAGTAGTACTCACGTTTTAAAAAAAAAGTAAATAAATTGTGAATATTTTTAGTGAGATTATGAATTAAAGTAATTCAACTTTTACATATTTCAGTAATTCAACTTTGACCAAATTTTCTAATTTTCTAATTAAAATTATCCTAAAAGAGTCTTCTAATTTTCTTATTTTTAATGTCTTTTGTTTGAATTGTATTTTTTCTATTATCAGTTTCTTTGTTGATTATGTGAGCAACTCAGCATATACTTTTGCCCTGAATCGCCGGAAGAAATAAGCTTCGTGAGTTAGGTTCAAAACCGACCCAACGCTTTTATCTCTTTCAACAAAAGGTTCAGTTCTCGAAGGATTCTAAGATAGCGGAGGAGGATGAGGAGGGGGATCACGTTCCATATGGTTATAGATTCTTCCACTTTATTTTTGTTATAGGCGCTATGTACACCCGCAATGCTAATAATTGACTGGAGTATTGTATATAAAGAATGTATTCTAAGATTAATTTTGTTGTTGTATTGGATCTCTATGATGTTTGTGTGATACTTGGATAAATGATAAATGGTGTTCTGGCTGATTCATGAAATACTACTTATTAAGAAAAGACTTGTATTTCTTATATATATGTCTTATTTTGGATTAAAATACGTTTAATTGTCTACTTGGAACTTTAATTAAAACATACTGTAATGAAACCATGTAGTACAATATGTATTGGTATTGTATGTAAAATTATTGTGAGAATTTGTTGATGTCCTTAACTACCCGCTGAAAAGAGCATTTAAATAAAAAATATGATTGAGTATTTGCTGCGGTTGTGAACCGCAGCAAATAAGTAAACCCACAAATTGCTGCCCCTTCAATTGCTGCGGTTGAGAACCACAGTAAATAAGTCAAAATAACCGCACCAAATAGCCATTTTTGTAATAGTGAAGTTCAATACTTCATAATTTTCTACACAACTCTTTGTAATTCTACTCACGAAGTTATTCTTTGAACTCTACCAGAACTTTATAGAGCTCTAATTCTACCGGGAGTTTCAACAAGAATAACACTTCATAATATTCATAGTATGCAAAGAAAGCAATTTAGATTACAATTACATTATGATGAGGCACCGACATTTCAAGTTAGTCTTAAGGAAAACAGTTCTAATAAGTGTCAATGAAGGCAAGAAGCAATATTAAAATTTATAGAAAGAAAAAGAGTTGCAGCAGGAAGAGCCAATTACCACTCCCAGACATAAATGTAGTCTTCCAGGAACTTCTGAGAATCGATCACTGCATTCCTAAGTGACAAATGGCCAAAGAATCCAATGTGACTGGAAACCATGGATGGAATTAGTAGCAGAAGTTTTGTTACTTAAAGACGAGTACCTTTCATATTCATGTTGTTCATGGTAAAGCACTATCTGATAGTGCCCAGTCACTGTCAAAGAGATTATGTCTTGAATGGACCAGAGTAACCTTCTCCAAGTCTTCCAATATGCAATCCTCTGCATTATGTATACCTCAGTTATATGTATTAGTGTACCATAATAGTGAAAGAGATATGAGACTGTTTGACATTTTATGGTGTAAAAGTGTTTATCACACCGATTTTCACATTCAAACACTTCACAAGTACTATCCTCCGTATCTCATTAATTGCAACATTGGAATATATACACTATTCATGTACTTTACTTTGACTACATTTTATTTATTAATGTATGTGAATTATTTTTTTTGAAAAATGTTGTTAAATTCATCTCATTACTAAGTTTTTTAATCTGATTTTTATTTTATTTTTACTAATACAAAATTAAATATAATGACGGTCAAAGTTGTGCGTTGTCAAACGTGAAATGTTGACTGTTGCAACTAAAAAGAGACGGAGGAAGTATTTTTAAAGCACCAAACTATTTCTTTAAAAATAAATGTTAAAAGCTCTTTCTCACTTTCCTTCCTAATACTTCATTTTCAAGTAAAAAAAATACTTTCCTCATTTAAAAAGAATTAATTCTTTTAAAATAAGTAAATCCAAAATGAACTCTATAACCATAATTTAATACTCCGTAATTGAGTAGAGGTAATGCATATTTATCTTCTATGAGGTGGAACTCATATGAGTCTATCCTCCATCTTCAACAACATCCACCATTTTCAAGATACGACTCACCTGCAGTAGACCGGAGTGCATCTGATATGTCATGTGCGACATATGAAAAATTCTAGTAGTGTATATAACATCCAGTTCAGGATAAAGGGTAATAATTTGACACCTCTAGAATCTTGTTAACATCACAAAAAATAGCCTCATAAACCAATTGATCAATTGGTTTATGAGGCTATTTTTTGTGATGTTAACATGATTCTGCCAATACAACATTTAGAGGTATAATCCACCCCATATGAAACTCAAATGTACATTGATTACAATTTTAGAATCAAAATCAATAGTCACCAGGTTTGGATTTCTTAAAATGAAATGAAAAACATCAAAGAATCTGATTATGTATATATTACCAGAGGTTGCGTAAATCCAGATTGATTACGAGAAACATCAATCGTCACCAGATTGATAACCCTTTGGCGAATCAGAGCACGGAGTAAAACCCTCGACGGCGGCTAGTTTGCGTAAATCTCCTGGTTATCAATCTAATTAAGTTCTTGAGGCCAGCACAAGGCCGGGGAAAGGGTTGTCGACTTATCCAACTATGGGAGGAGGAAGAGTCGTCCGGGTGAATATGTGTTACGGTTAGGGATGGACCCGGGCCGGTCCTAGGCCCGGGTGGGCTTTTTTTCGGAATGTTGGGCCCGGAACCTGCCCGGGTTGATACCGGGTCCGGGCCCGGTTCTATGTAATTTTTTTGGCTTTCTAATTAACCCTCGACCCCCTCCCTCACCCCACCCCCAAAACACCCAACCCTACCCAAGGAAAAGAAAAAAAATGAAAAAAAAAAATTGAAAAAAAAATTGAACTGGGCGCGGCCCGAACCGCCCGGGCCGGTTCATGAAAATCATGGCCCGGAACCGGCCCGCCAGAACCGCCCAAACCGGGCTAAAGCTCGGAACCGGCCATCCGGGCCCGGTCCGGTCCGGGCCCGCACAGTAGCGGGCCGGTCCGGTTCCGGGCCGGTTCGGCCCGTTTGATTCCATGCCTAGATACGGTTCACTGATAACCCTAGCAACCATTCTTATTTGTTGCAGTTCTTCTTTCAAGGAAGCAATGGTGAGATTATTTTAATCTATTTGCAGCGGTTACTATATGAGCGCAGCAATTGAATTAAAAATTCTGTCGTTTTACCGTGGGTGCCTAAAGACTGCATCAAATAATTGATGACTTTGTTCTTTTTTGCTACGGGCTTCCGTTATCCGCAGCAGATCAGATAAGCATTAAAAAAATATTAAATTGGAAACTAAATAGTTTTTGTTGTGGGTGTTATAAAACCGCAGCAAATAGGTAGCAGCAAATGTACAAAATTCTAGTAGTGACTTGTGGTGCATATGCACTTACCACAAGCACGATCTCATCTCTTATTATCAACTTAATGCTCATGATGAGATCCTTCTTCCTAAAGACTTCAACCACACCCTCAACATAATCATGTGACACCATAATGCCTACTCCATTTCTGTTCCTCTCTCTCCCTGAGTACCACAGTTTAAAACCTCCGGGATTAAGCTCACATGCCTTTTCTCCAACCCACTTTGTTTCTTGCATGCACATTATGCTGATATTCCTCTTCATCATAACCTTGGCTATCTAAGACGATCTTCCCCGACTAGTCCCCGGCTACTCCCCAGCTACACCGAGGACCCGACCTTCCGCTCGCTCCACTAGACTCCGGAGTAAGGGCAGTCGTACGGCGTGTATGTCTTCTGCTAGGCTGCAGCCTGGCAATCGTACCACGTCTTTGTCTTCAGCTAGGCCAAAGTCGGGGAGTCGTTTTTCTCTCCTTTGCGTAAAAGCTCATCCGTCTCACCTAATCACTCACAATATAAATAACAGCATTTATTCCATTGTAAAGGGTTATCATTTTAATACTCACTAGTTATATACATCACTCTACCTCTTGTATTTGCAACTGGACCGTAACTCCAGTTCGGTCATTTCCCTGTAATCATCATAATTACACTAATACAGTTGGGCTATTGAATCATTACGTTAGTGGATTTCTTTACTGATTTCCTTTTCTTAAGAATCATTTTGATTGATATTCAAAGGGTTGTGTTAGACCTTTGGATCCAGTCAAATTAACCTCATCAGTTCTCTCGGGTGATACATGGAGGAGGTGGGCATATATACAAAAGTGAAATAAAAAACATAATTGAAAATATAAAAGATTAAAAATGAAAAGGAAAAACAGTTGGACTATAGATGATACTCCATACGCCCCTTATAACTTTGTCATCTTTTCTTTTTTAGATGTCCCAAAAATTTTGCTACTTTCCCTTTTAATCAATAAATTTATGATTCCTGTCATTTTTCTCTCTTCTGCACATATCTCAACCACACAATTTTTATTTTATTATTTCTTGTGACAGTCAAATATGACAAAGTATTGAGGGACGAAAGAAGTATGTGACATACAAAAGTGGACCGTACGAGTAATTTCCACTTTAGAATACTGGGTAATACTTCCTCCGTCTCTTTTTAGTTGCAACAGTCAACATTTCACGTTTGCCAACGCACAACTTTGATCGTCATTATATTTAATTCTGTATTAGTAAAAATAAAATAAAAATCAGATTATAAAACTTAGTAATGAGACAAATTTAACAACATTTTTCAAAAAAATAATAATTCACATACATTAATATATAAAATGTAATCAAAGTAAAGTACATGAATAGTGTATATATTCCAATGTTGCAATTAATGAGATACGAATGATAGTACGAAAGTCGTATTCTGATAACCCGGGCCTGCGGTGAGTAGTATCACAACACGGACCAGTATAGAAGCATGTCAGTAGCCCAAAATTTTTTGTCTTATACCCCGATTAAAATTTATTTTTTATTCCTAATGGACCTCAATATTTTTTATACCTAATTGGTATAATTAGGGTTCGCCCCTTTCATTTTCGCTATAAAATCTTCATCGCTTCAAAATAGGTTGTTATTTTCTTTGCCGATTAAGGTGCTAAGCAGATCTTGTAAGAAGCACTCAGAAATGGAGCAGACTTTCATCATGATCAAGCCCGATGGCGTCCAGCGCGGCCTGGTTCGTCTTTCCCCTTAGTTTCTTTCGGGAACTTTAAAATAAATCATTATTTGTAAGAGATTTTTTTGTGTTGTTTTGTTTCAGGTCGGTGAAATTATTGGCCGGTTCGAGAAGAAGGGCTTCTCTCTTAAAGGTAACCGATTAATTAATGTCTACTGAATGTTGTTTTGCTTCTGTTCTGTGAAATCATTGGGCTCGATCAAAGGTTCAGTGCGTCACTTATCACGCTCATTTCTACTTCGGTTAAATATATTCTCTCGTCCTTTGGGTAAAGTGATGTTCTTACCTATAACATCATCCTTATTCCTTAGGTCTCTCATGAGAGATGGATATATATTGAACGTATTCAATGAAATTTGAATATAAATCCGAAATACTTCAAGTAAACCTACTTATTTTCCGGTATAAAAAGAACACCTTTTTAAATGTAAAAGCACACCCATTTAAACCATGAAACAATGCTTTATTTTTCTTTTTTAAAAATCAAAAGAACACCATTCAATTTTTTGGATCGAGTGGTTGATATGTGGAGTGTAGTATGTATTGATTTTTTTAAGGATTGAGTGCTTCATTTGTATGATATGTGGGTGTAGGTTTGAAGCTGGTCGCGGTTGATCGTGCTTTTGCTGAAAGCCACTATGCTGATTTGTCTGCTAAGCCATTTTTTAATGGCCTTTGTGAGTACATTGTTTCTGGTCCTGTTGTGGCAATGGTATGGGAAGGAAAGGGTGCTGTTGCAACTGGAAGGGTTATGATTGGAGCGACAAACCCCTCACAGTCTTCTCCTGGATCCATCCGCGGTGATTTTGCTGTTGATATTGGGAGGTAAATATTAAATAAATTTTCCTTCTCTGATTGGTGCACAATCCTTTGGATCTAAAATCTAAATGGTGAAGTAGAGTTTGACCGGAATATAAGTCATATGCTATGCATATTCATTGCATCCTTTTGTTTAGCTGCACCATAGGTTGTCTTTATATCTGTGAAAGGTTGTGTCAGATGCCCATGTTTAGATACCATAAACCCAAGTATAAAGATATTTTTAATTAGATTGGATTCAGTCCTGGACCAGACTTCTAACTGTTGTAAAATGCACATAGAACAAACATCAACCAAGCAAGTTTAGATCGGATTAGATTTAAAAAGATCAAACCAAACTAGCCTAGAAAATTTGATTTTAATTAAAAACATCCTAAAAGAGTCTTCTTTCATCTGTTTCATCCAAAATTTGACTCCTAAAAATAAGAGTCTTCTTTCATCACTTTTACATATTTCAGTAATTCAACTTTGACCAATGAGATAATCTGAACAAGGCTGGTGAAAGGAACCACAACCATATAGCTTATTGAGTAGTATTATATTCGTAGTTTGTCTTGGAATGATAAAAAATTGGAATGTTCATTTATCAAACATCCCTCAAAATGTTCTTGTATAGTTGTATCCAAACAGTCAGGGACATTGATATACTACTAATGATGTGCACATAGAACAAACATCAACCAAGTGAGTTTAGATCAGATTAGATTTAAAAAGATCAAACCAAACTAGTCTAGATAATTTGAGTCTAATTGAAAACATCCTAAAAGAGTCTGCTTTCATCTGATCTGAGTTATTCATATGTTCAAAACATTACTTTTACATATTTCAGTAATTCAACTTTGACCAATGAGATAATCTGAACAAGGCTGGTGAAAGGAACCACAACCATATAGCTCATTGAGTAGTATTATATTCGTAGTTTGTCTTGGAATGATAAAAAATTGGAATGTTCATTTATCAAACATTCCTCAAAATGTTCTTGTATAGTTGTATCCAAACAGTCAGGGACATTGATAAACTACTAATGATGTGCAGAAATGTCATCCATGGAAGTGATTCAGTTGAGAGTGCAAGGAAGGAAATTGCACTTTGGTTCCCAGAAGGTGTGACCGCATGGAAGAGCGAGCTTCACCCTTGGATCTATGAGAACTAAAATATTTCTGAATTTGTAGTGATGTTTTCCTACAACTTTTGATGTACCCCTATGCTCACTTGTGTTCCCTCTGTCTTGATTATTACAAGAATGCTGTTATCTTTGTCCTCTCTTTTGAAGTGCTTGATTTAGAGCATGATTTGTCAAAATTGTTGCATTAGTTTTGCTATAGATATTTGCATTAGGCAATATTGTTCTTTAGAACAAGACTTCAATGGTGTTCAAAACTTGTGTGAAAAATAAAGTAAAATTGTTTTTAGAACAAGACTCCTGCAATGGTGTCCAAAACACAAACCTCAATATATTTTAATTACTACGTATTATAGTGATATACGGAGTGTCGGAGTATAAAGATTTATGGGAAAAGGTGCAAATAAGCCCTCGAACCAATCGAAAAAGTTCAAATCACCCCTTTTGTAGGATGTTCTGTTTGGCTGTCGTCATTTGGGGTGTTTTTCTGCGGAAATTTTTGATGATTTTTTTTGAGTATCTTTTTCATTAAGTCTAGTTTAGTCATACCAAATTTGAGCTAAAAATTCATCCGGGAAGGCAGTCAAATGATTTTCTGAAATATACTGCGCTGTTTAACCGCACAATTATCTTCAAACATTTATTTGGTTGTCTTACCAATTGAATTTGTAGCTGAAATTTGGTATGGTTAAACTAGACTTAATAAAGAAGATGCTCAAAAAATTTCATTAAAACATTCCACCGGGAATTGATCCAAATGGCAACGGTCGGACAGAACCTCCTATAAAAGGGATGATTTGAACTTTTTTTGATTAGTTAGAAGGCTTATTTGCACCTTTTCCCAAGATTTATTTATACATTTTTACCTGGTGTATCTACTCGCGAGTACTCGTTGCATTTCTGAACTTGGGTAAGTTCTCAACCCTGGCTAGGTCATGCATTTTTGAGTTAAACTTGTAAAGTTTTATTTAAAGAGGGATATTATGTAATTTATTATTTGTTATGAGTGGGTATACTTTTATGAGTTCATCTACTACGTAATTTATTATTTAAAGAGCGATATAATTTATGCAATAATCCGTATGTAGTTTTTAACACACTTTTTTTCTACTTTTTGTCTTACTTTTTATACATTTACATCATCTCTTAGTTTTTATATAAATTATTCATTATATCTACTATTTCATCCTTAAATGTTGCACTCAAACCTATTGTCGTGAACATTAAAATAACATAGAGTATTCCATGCATGTGATCATTTTAATAGTGCTTTCTCCTCAAGTCCTCATCTCTAGATAAGTTATTCTTCTTCATGGCTTCATGGCTCTATCTTCTTCATTAGTTTTTATCATATCTAAGAATGAATTGGGATGGTTTTACTTGGATTTTTTTCATTCCCATGCTAGACTAAAATAGACAAGAACAGATTAGATTAGACCAAACTTCCGTAATTAGGGGTGGATTCGGGCCGGGTCGGGCCCGGGACCGGCCCGAGAGTTGGACGGGTCCGGTTCGGGCCGGGCCACCCGTTCGGGTCACGGGTCGGGCCACCCGCCGGGCCAGGCCGGGTCGGTTAAATGTTTTTTTTAATTTATATTTTATACATTATAGTTTTATACAAGTATTAAAAAACAAACTTCAAGTGCATTTATTTGAAATGAAATAGGAACTACATTTGAAAATTAAATAGGAACTATAATTGTTTTTAAAACATGAAATACTAATCAATCATTCAATATTTCAATCGGAATCTCCGGCATAGGTAGAGCCACCCTCGGTTGTAGATTCATCCATAAAGTGTTGGGATGAGGTGATGTCAATTTCTTGAGCTCTACGGGCTGCTTTCAACCAATCGTGGTAGCATATAAGCATCTCAAGAGATTCAGCGCTCAACCTCGTTCTGGTTTGTGTTAGGACATTGCCGGCCGAACTAAATTCTTGTTCCACGGCAACCGTTGAAACCGGCATTGATAGCACTTGCTTAGCCATCTTTGCTAAAACCGGGAACATTCTTTCTTTTCCCTTCCACCAGTTTAGTACGTCAAAATCATCATTTTCTTCAAAATCAACATCATAAGTTAAATACAAAGAAATCTCATTAATTGTGCTTTGTTGTGTAGCGGGAGTTGATTTCGTTTTTTTAATAAGATTGACAAACGTAGATTTGAAAATTGATTTTCCTTTAGATGATGTTTGTGTCGGGGGAGGGGGCGCATTGCCATATTGTGCATGAAACTCATTGAATAATGCATAAAATATATCACTAATCTCGTTGTATTCTTTTTTCGGATCAATTGGGTTGTCCTCATACATTGGCAATAGACCAAAAAAAGCAGCATAATAATAATTCAAACATTCTTCTAAAGAACCAAGTCTAAAACGAGGATCGAGAACAAATGCAATACCATAAATATGCGGAATATGTGAATAATATTTTAAAAACTTTTCCTTCATAAAACTAGCAAAATAACTCACATAATCAGCATTCTCAAAATTTGAAAAAGCACCGGCGAGATTAACAGCTTCACGAATAAATTGGTTTGAGGTAGGTTTATCTAACTATTAATTCGAGTTATAGCAAATTAACTAGTGAATTAACTAGTTTTGTGTACAATATATTTTTTTAAACTAGAGTCAAATGTAGCAATTAATAAAAAATTGTAAAAAAGTAATTAACTATTTATCTAACTATTAATTCGAGTTATAGCAAATTAACTAGTGAATTAACTAGTTTTGTGTACAATATTTTTTTTTACTAACAATGAAATTAATACACTTTAACTTTAACTATAATTAGAATTACAACTAATTTTTTAAACTAGAGTCAAATGTAGCAACTAGCAATTAATAAAAAATTGTAATAAAGTAATTAACTATTAATCTAACTATTAATTCGAGTTATAGCAAATTGTACAACCTAATTAACTAGTTTTTTTTCAAGTAACATTAATACAAAACAAGTGTAAATAATAGAATAATTTCGTACCTCTTTCGGACTTTCGGTCTTTCGGATGGGAGTAATAGAATGACTTCAAATTAATTAAATATAATTCCAACTATATTAATAGATATAATAAATATATAAGTAATATATAATTAGATAACAAATATAAGTAATATAATACTATTTATATCTATTTATAGTTTATATAAGTAGATAATTAATATAAACTATAAATAATAAATATAATATATTGGAGAATGGAGAATAAGAGAATTAGAGAGTAGAGAGTTAAGAATAGGATTTAGGAAGAATTGGAGAAGAAATATGAAAAAATGTTTAAGATTAGGAGTATTTATAGGTTTTTTTACCCCCCACCCCCACCCCCACCAAACCCCCCGAACCCCCCCTGCACCCCACCCAACGGCTATATAGCCGTTTGGGTTGTCCCCATCCCACCCATAACGGCTAGTAGCAATTTAACATTTTTTTAAAAAATAAGACCGTTGGGCCCGGACCCAGGCTCGGGCCCGACCCGGCCGGGCCGGGTCACATTTTTCCGGAACCGTGCCCGCCCCGCCCATTCCCACCGGTTCGGGTCCACACCCGGTCCCGGACCGCCCGACCGATCCGGTCCCGGGCCCGCACAGTACCGGGCCGGGCCGGGTGGCCCGAACCGAATCCACCCCTATCCGTAATTATAAAATATATAGAATCATACATTTAGTAGAACAGAACAGTTCAGACCAGAGCAGACATTATTACTATAATTTTGGATATTTATACTTGGCCAAGGAGTTCAATAGATCCTTGTACCGATCGTGTTTGTTCAATTCAGTCATTTTAAATTAAAAAATATCCAATTCGCATCTTTAACCAACAAAAAATAGTTCAAATTTAAGTTTTTATGGGTGAACACCCAGTCACCCGCCACGTCACCCGGTAAACCAATGACGTGGAAATTAAACAAATCACCCCCCTAAACTATTAGGAGTAAAAAAATGTAAAAATTGAAACAAATCCAAAAACAGAAACCATAAAAAAGTATAAATATAAGAATTACAAAAAAATAAATAGGAAACATAAGATTGATTTTACATTAATATTTTATTTAAGATTTCATTTCTATTTGAATGTTTTGTTTTATGTTTTTATATTTTGTCATTTCGTAGGTTTTGAATTAATACATATTGTCTTTGTCTCACTCAACTTTGCCAACTTTATGTTGTGTGAGAAATTTAAAAAGTAAAAATAATTTTGTTGATGTTCGTGCAGAAGTGAACAGAGCCACGAATTAGTCACTTTAAAAGTAAAGTAACAAAGTTTATGGGCGAACAAAGAGAAGTTGACCAAAATAATTTATAGAACAAAAAAAGTAATAGTTCAAATAGGATTTTTTTTTTTATATAACTTAAAGCATAGGAAAACAAAGAAAAGAAAAAAGTAGAAAGTAATTCTTTTTATATCTAATACAAAATAAAATAAATACGAATAGATGTTAAAAATCTATTGAAACACCAGTTAGGATTAAAACAGTCCTATTTAAAAAAAACATATTTTAGACTTTTTTTGTGTTTTCAACCTACTTTGAGCAGGTTTTAAACCTAAATATTTAGTATAACATAATATACTACGTATTAAAAACAAAATACAATACATGAAAATATACCAAATGAAAACTATAAATAAATTTAAAAAAATAACTAAAATTTAATGCAGGAAATTATAGGCCTAAAATAAAAATTTAAGAGTAAAATATAATGTCAAAATATACATATATTATCTTTTCATCTTTTTTATATTATTAATTTATTATATTGATATTTATATTTTTATATTCATATTTTTACCATATATTTGTACTTAATATTTATTATTTTATATTATTTATTTATTTAGTTTGAATTTATTCCAATGTTGAACCTTTTTTTAGAATTGGGGGCGTTAATTGAGCAATTCGAACATGTTCATGGAAGATTACAAAGAGTTCATGAATTTTGATATATTTTTTTAAAAGCTCAATAAATTTTTTATTGAGCTTTTAATTTCCACTTAAGACACACAAGTGGCAACCAGACAGGTGATATGGCGGGTGGGAATTGATCTTTTTTTTAGTTCAGGGAACGAATATAGCAAACACCTCCAGTACAAGGACGTATTTGGCTATTTAACCTTTATCTTTTAAAATTAATAACTAATATAGGACTGAGTAGTCACAAATTAATCCCGAGTACTAGATCCTATTCACTACACGACCCTTGACCGAGTTGCTATCGAGTAGGGATTTAAGTACTTAGATTTGAACATTCCAATTTTTTCTTGGGAGGGCTTAGACCGCCTCCGGCCCTTCACTCGCCCATGTATAATTTTTTCATGCAATTTTTAATAGCTACAAACCTTAATTATTATTTTTTTGTGATAGAGAACTATGATTTCACTAAAATTCTTAATGCAATAATGTATAGATACATTTAAAGGAATATGTTAAATAGGTTGGCGTACTTTATTATAAATTGCAACTAAGCATGTTTTTACTTGGACTGATTTTTTTTATTATCTAGTGTGTAAGTTTGGTGTGCTCAAGTAAATGTCTGGTCTTTCTGAATTTTATAATTGTGGAAGTCCGGTCTGGTCTGATATAGTCTAATCTAATCTAAAATTGGAATATGTCAAATTAAAAATATTAAGAGACTGTTTACATTTTTCTATTAAGTCATATATGTATTCTCACGTGTGTCTGAGTTAAATTGTTTGTTTGAATTAAGTGATACTTGTATATGAGACTTTTTATTTTGTATGCTGAATAAAAAGTCTAAATCTAGTAAAATAATCAATTTAGTATTATTCTTAAATTATCATAATGTCAATTAAAAATTTCATTTATTAATATAAATCTATTCTACAATCAAATTGAAAAAAATGACATAAAAAACTTCTTTATATACTCTTCTCTATCTGTATTCCTTGTAGATCTCTAGCATCTTTCCGAACTAGTTGAACACTTCATATAGATTTTGTAAATGATATACTTTGTGAGTAGAAAAACACTACATGTACCCCATTTGTAGCCACCCCTATTGTGTTGCTTAAATGAGACAATTCATTTAAATGGGGCAACTCATGTAAATGATGGGCTTTTGTGAATCACACAATAGGTGAAGTACAAATGGAGTACCCCAAAATGGGGTACACCAAACATCCTTCTTGTGAGTATGAGCAGAACCTAGGACATAGTCCATCCCACCTCTCAATTTTAATTAAATTATTAAGGAATAAATGTCAAATCAGTTCTCCTATTCTATACAGAAAGGCAATTGGGTCATGTACAATAACTTTCATCAATTACGTTCTCCTAATATATAATTTTAATCAAAATTAATTTTAATCAAAATTAATATATAATTTTAATCAAAATTAATATATAATTTTAATCAAAATTAATTTTTGACAGGTAACTCACCGGTCTCACATGGCAACACATATGGTGGCCCATGTCACTTTATTATTTTCATTTTTCCTTTTTTCCCGCTTTCTTTTTTTTGTTTCTCTTTCCCCATAGACCCCTTTCACCAGCCTGTGTCGGTCTGTGAACCGCTCCTTCTCCAAATTCCTCTTCGACCTCGGCAACACCATCATTTCCCTCATCGACCTTTTATTCGCACAAAACATCAGGGGAAAATGGAAATTAATAATCCAACCTTTTAGCGGTTTTCTTATAATAGTCTCACCTTTTAATTATTCGGGAATAATCCAACCTTTGCACTCCATCTTCATTCAATGGTCCCTGACCGGTTGATGATCTACTATTTCAAGTTATTTTCTTATCTTTGCAATATATTATACCATAAATCTCACCTTATGGTCACATAATGTTTAGAAAAAATAAGAAAATAACTTGGAATAACAGGTCATCTACCCGTCAGGGACCATTGAATGAAAATGTGATGCAAAGGTTGGATTATTCCTGAATAATCAAAAGATGGGACTATTGCAAGAAGACCGCTAAAAAGTTGGATTATTAGTTTCCATTTTCCCAAACATCAATCACCTATTGTTGAAGCTAAATGACGTAAATACAAGTTGTATATACGAATATAGACAAATAATTAAAGTAACATGCAAGATTTGAAGAAACAATAAGGATTGTGAGTATATTCATGATAAAAAGTGTGTTGTGTTGACAATGAAATAATTTCTTTCCTATGGAGAAGTAATTAACGGTCTTTCAAATTAATCAATCACCCTCCTTATATACATTAATTTTTGTATTAATACATAAAACGTCCAAACAATCAACATTATGTCTTATAAATGTACTATTTGTGAAACAATAAATTAAGGGATAAGGGTCAGATAGGGCCTCGAGCTTATAAAAAAATGTCAAATAAGATCTTATATAAGATGATCTGTCCGGCCGACCCGATTTGGGCCGGTTCCCGATGGAATTTTTTGATGATTTTTTTTAGAATCTTATTCATTAAGTCTAGTTTATTCATACCAAATTTGAACTAAAAATTCAATCGAGAAGGCATTCCAATAAATTCTTGAAGATAACTGCACTTTTAACTGCGCAGTTATTTTCAAGAATTCATTTTAATGCCTCCCCGATTGAATTTTTAGTTCAAATTTGATATGAGTAAACTAGACTTAATGAATAAGATTCTCAAAAAGTTTCATTGAAAATTTAATCGGGAACCACCCCAAATGGCTTCGAATGTACAGAACATCCTATATATGACCTTATTTGACATTTTTTGTAAGTTTGAGGCCCTATCTGACCCTTATCCCATAAATTAATTAATCAAGAGATAAATTAATTATATAAGTCCTCAACAGTAATAATAATAATAATACGCTGTTACAACCCCTCAATCTGTGCGGGGGAAATCACGTGCAGATTGGAACACAAAAATTCAAAACGCTGACTAGTCAAGTTCTTGGTAAAAATATCTGCAAGCTGGTGTTGAGTGGGAATATGTTTGACTGTCAGATCTCCGTGAGCTACTCATTCACAAACAAAATGATAGTCAATCTTGATATGTTTGATGCGGTCATGGTTGATAGGATTCACTGCAAGATAAGATGTTGAAACGTTGTCACAAAATAACTACACTGGATTAGGTAGTACAATGTCCACATCATAGGCAAGAGCTCAAATAAACAATGTGCCTTGGACAATGTATGCTACCGCACGATATTCAGCTTCAGTTGATGATTTTGATACAATAGGCTTTTTCTTGAATCGTCAGGACACTAGATTTCCGCCTAGAAAAATAGCATAATCTATAGTAGAATAGCAGCTATCCGGATAACAAGCCCAATCAACATCAGAATAAGTAACAACCACTGATATATTTTGCCCCGAGCGAAGCCACAAGCCGTGTGAAGACGTGTCCTGTAAATACCTGTAAATTATTTTGACAGCAGCAAGATGAGTAATACGTAGTGCATACATAAACTGAGAAACTAGGTGAACGACATAAGTAATATCGGTCAGGCAATAGTCAAATATTGTAACGCACCTACCATGCTCCGATACTCAGTACAATCACTAAGAAGATCACCATCAGTAAAAGATAAAGTAGTGCGAGAAGGAAGAGGAGTACGCACCGGTTTGACAGTGTGAATGTGGAACCGGCCTAGAAGATCTGTAGTGTACTTCTGTTGAGAAAGAAAAAGACCATGAGGAGTACGACGAGCCCGAATGCCCAGAAGATAGTAAATATCATCGAGATCCTTCATAGAAAACTGACTAGACAAAATTGTGATAAATTGACGGACCAGAGAGGGAGAGCTACCTGTGATAAGGATGGCATCTACATACAATAGTATGTAGAAACCCACTAAAAGGTGGGACCAAGCTCTAGACGCTTGTTTCAGACCATAGAGTGCTTTGCGAAGACGACATATATGGGTAGGAAACTCAGGATGGACAAACCCGGGAGGCTGATGCATATAAATCTCTTCAGTGAGGTTACCATGCAGAAAGAAATTTTTGACATCTAATTGGCGAATAGTCCACCCCAATGAAATAGCGACTGAAAGGACAAGGCGAACAGTAGTAGGTTTGACCACAAGACTAAAAATCTCAGGAAAAATCTACCCGAGCCTGTTGGTTAAACCCCTGAGCAACCAAACGAGCCTTATGGCACTCGATGGACCCATCAAATTGATATTTAGTTTTATAAATCCATTTACAACCGACCACATTTTTTGTCTTGTCAGTAGGCACTAAATCCCAAGTTTTATTAACAAATAATGCACTAAATTCTTCTGCCATTGATGCCTGCCACACTAAAAATTTATTTGCCTGAGAAAAACATGTGGGATCATTTGGGAGAGCTAAAGCATTTAAAGTAAAAATTGTTTTGGGCTTAAAATTTCATCTTTAGCTCTCGTGCGCATAGGGTGAATATTAGGAGCCATCCTAGGTGGAGAAGGTGATGGTGTCACGGAATTGCTAGGCTGGCTGGGACTAGTCGAGGAGGATTCGAGCGAGGTGGGGGTGCTTGGTGTAGAGGACGGCCTTGTCGGGCTTGGCAGTGAGGGTGCAGTGTTTGGGCTAAGAACAGACAACATAGGTGTGGAGGTTTTGGTACTAGCTGTGGGGGAGGAAGGTACTTTCGGGGTGGAGGGATGTGTGGAAGTAGAAAACTGATCGGATGAAGGCAGTAGGTTCACGGCAGGGGGGCGTACCGGTATGGCATCTGTAGTTCGGGTAGAAGACCGAGGTAATAGGATGGATATGGTGGGTTGAGTTGAGAGGTGAGGGTGGGATATGGAAAGGTGGTTTCTTGAAAAAGAACATCCCTGCTTATGTAAACACGACTAGTTTGGGGTTCAAGACATCGATAGCCCTTGTATCCCGAGGCATAACCCAGAAAAATACAAAGAATGGAATGTGGAGAAAGTTTATTTGATGAGGAGGCAATACGATTAGGAAAACAAGCACAACCAAATACACGTAAAAAGCTATAATCAGAGGTTTTTGAAAAAGTTTCTCGAACGGAGACCGATTACTCAGAACAGGAGTGGGTAACCGATTAATAATGAAAGTAGCCGTATATAACGCATCAACCCAAAAAGAGTTTGGAAGATGAGTGTCAATAAGCATGGCCCTGGCTGATTCAAGCAAGTGACGATGTTTCCGTTCTGTCACACCGTTCTGGAGCAGGTGTATCCGGACAAGATTTTCTAAAAAGAATGTCACAGTTTAAAAAAATGTTTTTGAAAAGAGGAATTTACAAACTCACCGCCTCCATCACTTTGAAAACATTTAATTTTACAATTAAATACATTTTCAACTGATTTTTAAAATTGCAAAAATGAAGAAAAACCTCAGACTTTCTATGCATAGGATAAACCCACGTGAATCTAGAAAAACCATCAATAAATGAGAGATAATATTTAAAACCTAAATTAGATAATACAGACGATTGCCAAACATCAGAATGAATAAGATGTAAAGGAGCCGTAAATCATGAATAACATCTTGAAAAGGAAGACGATGAGACTTACTCAGCTTAGACGAAACACAGTCATGAGAAAACAAACTAGAACTAGTGATTAAATTATTTTTCCTAAGAGTAGATAAAATACGACCCCCACCAAGGCGTTTGTGCCAAACTGAGCCTAGAAACAGCGTCGTCTTGAAAGCAAGGGATGGGGCGGGTGGCGAGCTGCCGTAAAAGGATAGGCACGGTCTTTACTGGTGTCTTGAAGTAGGATGGTCCATGTGTGGTTGTCCTTAACAAAAAAGAGTTTTTATTAAAAATGACCGAGCAATCAATATCTGCACAAAAGCGTTGAATAGACGTACAATATATTATATTTAAGCTTCGGAACATGATAAACTCGTTTTAAAAGAAGTGGACGGTCAGAAGTGGACAGATTAATTTTTCCAATATGAGAAACTTGAAGATTATTACCATTATTGACTTCAATAGAATGTTGACCATTTTAAATAGATTTATTTAATAAAATAGCTTCTGACGGAGTCATATGAGTCGAAGCCCCAGAGTCGGGGTACCATACAGATTTATTGAATTCGCCCGCGGGAAGAGCCGCTAATGCTGGAGCAGATGAGTTGACAAAACGAGAACATGACAACACATAATGACCAAGAGAGAAGCAAATCTGACACACTATGGGCGGTGGGGGCTGAAAAGATATTTCTACCGATGGAAATCCTGTAAAATTGGGGTGATTAACACAAGCATATAAAGCATTAATATTGGCTATAACACGACAAGAATTACTTAAAATCGTACCTGGAAACCCATGAGTCTGTGGTCCACGTGGAGGATAATGCGCACCAGCCGGAGGTGCCATTTGCCACCCGTAAAAACCAGGGACCCCATCATATCCCTGCTGTCCGCCGTGCTGCTGTTCGCCAGAGCCACACCCTCTTCCGCGGTGGCCGCACTCTTTGCCTCCGCAATAGCCTCGCCCACCATTGCCGCGGTATCGATCACCTCCTCGACCTGCTGGGCGCTGCACGGCTGTGGCAGCGTGGTCTGCTATTGCAAAAGCTTGGTGGCCAGGATGGGAGTTTTGTGAACAGAGATAAAATGCTTGTTGTTCAAGTGCTAGAAGTTGAGGGCGCGAACTGTCCAAGGTGAAGCTGTCCGGGAATAGAGCAATGGATGTAATGAGCGACTCATATACAGAGCCAAGACCTTGAACAGTGGCTTGCAGAAGCTCCTTGTTGCTAACTAGTGAATAACGATACTATGTGAATAACCAGTGGGCACCGAGGTTGAAGCCGAAGTGGATAAACTTGTCGAAGCTGCGGCTGTTTCCGGCCGAGGGTGTGGCGGCTGCACCATGTTGACGGGCGCCGAGGTCGACGGAGGAGTGGTGCTCAACATTGAATATTAGGGTTTAGAAAACTTGTGCGACTGATACTATGTGAAACAATAAAAGTGGACCATAATGGCTTGCCTTTGTGGTAGCTCTAGTAGTGTATTTATATTAATCAAGAGATAAACTAATTACATATAAGTCCTCAACAATAATAATAATAATAACAATACGCTATTACTATTAAGTTCCATAGTAAATTCTCATAAATGTAGAATTAAACGTCAAATATTTGCTCCAACACCTGCCTTCTGGAATCGAGACCATCGATAAACTATCTTCCATGTCACTCTTCCCCACCTTCGTCGGCGGCACCAAGCTCATGAAACCATATATGTTTCTGGACTTCTGGTGAATACCGTGGATGCTGATCGAAGAGCCATTCTCTGTGCCGGATTTCCCATGGCTTAGTCTTACAAGGAATGATTTCGAATCCTTCTTTCAAGGAAGAGACCTAAACGACCAAATTTCTGGTTTTCAGTGGAGCAGATCAATGCGACCATGAAGAACCATAGTCTAATTGGGCCAGCCGGGAGTGACATTAAGTGTTGGTCCCGGTTATACTGGATACAGTCTAGAGGGGGGGGGGGGGGGTGAATAGACTGTATTGGTTTTTAGCTTTTTAAACTAAGTACCAGATTTACAGAATAGCCTGTTCTGTTGAAAGAACAGACTGACAGCGGATGGGGTTCTGGTAGGGAGTTCTGTTAGCCTCAGAGAAGCAAAGGCAGTAGGCCTTCTGTTAACTCGTAGAACAAGTTCTGCTGAACACAGATACCAAGTCCAAGGAGTTAGACAGTTCTATCTAAGTGCAAGTATTAAAAGCAGTAAGTAAACGACACCAGGGATTTTTATAGTGGTTCAAGGAACAACTTGTTCCTCTAGTCCACTGTTCCACTAAGCTGTAAAAACTGCCGTTTACAAAGCCTTAGTCCTAGTACTTAAGAAGCACTCCACGTCTTCTTCAAGTCTAGATGTGTCCTGGGATGCACTGCCTGGCTTCCTTTAACACTGGTCCTTTCACTGAGTTTCCTTGAAGTATCACCACTTCACTGCTCCAGTTACTTGGACGTCCTTCTTGTAGCAAGAAGAGTTTCTTTTGAAACTGGGGTTCCTCCAACTAGCTTCGTTACAAAGGATTTGTATGTGATGAGCTTGAAGAGTTGAAGAACACTAGGAAATTTGCTTGAGTTGGAAAAAGTATTTTTCCAACTTCTGCCTTCTCTTGTAGAAGATAATGAGTTTGAATCTCAAGGAGGCTTTTTGCTTTTTCAGAGTTTGAATATCTTGTTTGTAGCAATGGTTAGCAAAAGTTATCTTGGCAAAGTTATCCGGTTGTTCTTCGTAGTGTATCTTTTATACTGAGGTTGTCTTCCCGTTGGAGGAGTAGGAGGACAACTGCATTTAATGCGCGATCAGTTGACTTGACTAGTAGAGCCCGATAAAGTTGGCGGGTTACTATTTTGGGATAAAGTATTCCTGACATTGCGGCCAATCATCTGCAATTACTCTACGTAGCATGGGGTGCATTAAATGAGCATTTAATGCATGCACTGTAGCTTTTCCGTTTCATACTCCTAGCCGTTGAAGGAATCTTTTAGTTGACTTCCCGGTTCTTTGAAATTCTTCTAAGTGTCAGACCTTCTGGTGTCTTTGTCTGAGAGTAGATTAGAGGAGGTCTGGAGCACTTCTGTTGTGAGAGTATCCAACACAGACCCAGAAGGGTTTCTGTCAGAGTCAAGACTAACAGAGATCCTGAGGACTTCTGTTCTGGAGCAGAGAACCAAAGGTCCTCTGTTTCAATAATGCCTTACGAGGCACTTCTGCTCTTGAAGTCCTTCTGCTCTTGAAGGTCTTCTGCTCTTGAAGGTCTTCTGTCAAGTCGATTACTCTAAGAACTTTACAAAGGAAAATTCTAATACATAATTTCTAAAGGGGTACTCTAAAGTCCTAATTAATCTAGCATCATCAAAATCTAATTACAATTATTCCTTACAATTTCCCCCTTTTTGATGATGCCAAAAACCGTTTAACTATTTCCAGAGAAGTGCCTTCACCATAAAAAAAAATATAAAGTTTAAAAAAAAACTTCCATTAAAATCTTGGTGGGCAACTTGGCATAGGAAAGTAGTAAGAGTACGATACATTCAGATAGCAGAACATAACAGAAATAAACAAACACAAGCAGAAGGCAAAAAGACAAGAATTTGAGGAAAAGCACTTCAAAGTAAGAAGACAGAGATGTGATTTTATTAGATAGATATTACAGAGTTTAAACCTTACACATTCTCCAGATTAGCTGCCTGTAGAGCTTCTTCCTCTAGTCTTTGAAGCCTGAGCAGTTCTTCATTTATTTCAGCTCTGATTTTGAACAGATTGCCAGACCTTTGATAAGATGCCCATATTGGAGAAAGCTTCTTCCTCTAGTCTTTAAAACTCTCTCATATGCTGGTAAGTTGCAACTTATCAGGGCTGTACTTCTGCTTCTTCAAGTGATCCCCCATACCTAACTCTGACAACACCATCTTTGTCCAAATAGAGGTGCTGTTGTTGGGTAGGAGTCATTTTAGCCTTCATCTCTTCAAATTGAGCTCTGTCAATGTTCTGAGAACCACCCAATCTCCACTCAGTGAAGTTGAAAACTTTCTTCTTCTTGGTGCTCTTCTTTACTGGAGATGGGGGTCTAGGTATGCCTGCTGCTCTTTTCTTCTGTAGGGCAGCTTCAAAGTAGGGAGCCAGATCTACTGCAGGCTCATCAGAGGAGGGTGGCCTGGTAGGAGTTCTGTGGGACCTAGGCCTGGTCTGTTGAGGGTCCTCTTCCCCCTTTTTGGCATCATTCAGATCTTCAATCATAAGACTGATCTTCTGGAATTCTGAGGCCTGGGTTGAGGCTATCTGCTCCAGGGCCTCTGGTAGAGTCTGGGTGACAGAGGTAAGGCCTTCAATGAGACCTTGCTGCTTCTGTATGGCAGAGAAGATGTCCTTGTTATTGGCTTCAAGGAGCACCATCTTCTGATAACGGTCTCTGTCAGTAGACAGAAGTGCTTGAGCCTGTTCTTGATGAACTCTGCACATTGCCTCAATAGAGGTCAAGTGCCTCTCTGTCCTGGCATCAGATTCCTTCAGAGCTTCAAGATGCTCTGAGATATTGTGAATAGCATGGCCTTGACTCAGGAGAGTCTGCTGGAAGATAGAAAGAGTGTTGTGGATGCCTACCACTTCTGTTGACAGGGCATCTGTTCTGGCGGATGATGAGGCTATGAAGTTGTTGAGAGTTCCTGTGAGGTTCTCAAAACGATCAGAGATGAACTGCATACCTGAGTTTAGATTGTCATTCACGTGAGCAAGGTGCCCATAGTGTGTGTCATTGATTTCAATCAGTTTGTTCATGCCTTAGAGGATCTGTCCTCCAAATTCTTCAGCAGATTCAACAAATTTGTTGAAGGGAACGTTGTTCTGTTGTCCATCAGCTTGAGGCATTTCTAGACCTCTTCCCTTAGGCAAAGGATGATGTTCTTGGACAGATGAAAGAGATTGGACAGCCTGTTCATGTTCCAGTTGAGTCAGAGGAGGGGTCTTCTGTCTGTTGGATGTGGCCTTGTAAGATTTGCTGATCATGAATCCATCCATGTCAGAGGAAATCTCACACGGAGAGTAGATAGGTTTTCTGTTGCGTACTATCTTCTTCTTCTTTCTGAGGGAAGGATTGGGGGCAACAGAGTCCCTAGAATACCCTTTGGGTGCAGAGATGGGGGAGACAGTTGTAGGGTCTGAGTTTCTGAAAAACCATACAGGTTTAAGGTTCTCTGCAGGTTGTTGTGGGGGAGGTGATTCTGGAGGAGGGGATTGATGATCAGATTCAGAGGATGAGGAGGAGATCTGTTGGGGTGAGGGGTTCTGGTGCTGGGGTGAAGAGTGAACAGGTGAGGCATTTTGTTGAGGGGGGATGGTGGAGGTGAAGGTGAACGGTTTCTGAATGGAACAATTGCTCTGCAGGGAGATGCAATTTTCTGTTTGGGTGAATGAGAAGGGGTAGGGGTTTTCTGTTCAGGTGATACAGGTTGAGGGTGTTCTGGTGGAGGGGTTCTGGTGCTGGAAGGAGGTGAGGGAATGTGGGGTTCTGTTGGGATAATAACAGAGGGGGTTGGAGAGATTACCTCAATGATGTTCTCCTTGAGCAAAGAAGTCCTCCACTCCTTGATATGCTCCATCATTGCTTGCCCTTCTGTCTTGGGTACAGAGGGCTCTCCTGGGTTGAGATGGGGTTGCACAGAATCTGTTGCCATCTTTGTGAACAACCATTCCTCAAAGGCTTCAATTTCTTCCTCTCCTAGAGGTTTGACAGCCTCTTCTGAAGGTGAGGAGATGAGAATGGCCTTCCCTTTGTAGCTCGCCTTCTTCTTCTCAAGAACAGAGTGAAGGAAGTTGAGGGCAAAACACTTCGAGACATCATCAGTCCCAACCCAGTTCAGAATGGCTTCCTCTTCTGGTTCATAATGGTCAAAATACTGGATTATTTTGGAGAGGGGTCCCATTCTCCACCTTCTCCATTCAAGAACCCGGGTAAACTGTCTGTCTAGCAAGGACAGATACCCATCTTTGACAGGACTGGGGTGTTCTGTTGAAGTAGACACCCTGTTCTGTTCAGGAGATGCAGCAGAGGTGGGGATCTCTGGTTCCCCCTGAGTGTTTGCCACTCCTTCAGATGCAGAAACCACAGGTTTAGAAACCTTCTTCTTTGGTTTTGTGGTCCTTTTCCTCTTCTGTCCGGCCTTAGAAGGGGCAACAGGTGCTTCCTCTTCGGTCTTCTTCTTCTTCTTCTTCTTCTTCTTCTTCTTCTTCTTCTTCTCAGCAGAAGGGGCTACAGAGAGAGATTTCTGTACCTTCTCTCCCTGTTGTCTCTTAGCCTCAAGTTGAAGCTGTCTCTTCATTTCAGCCTTTATGGCTTTCTCCCTATTTGGAGAAGCAGTTAAGAAGATTACCTTGGTGTGATCCAAAGTTGAAGCCTTCCTCAAGTGTACCCCTTGTTTGAGGAGCACTTCTGAAATCAGTAGTCCATGTCCTAGCTTCCCAGAGTAGAGGCTAGTTTTTGGGTTCTTCTTCTTGATTACTTCAATCAGGGACTTCACCATGACTTGTCCCCAATTGATGTTCACCCCATGATGCACTGCATACAGGGCCTTTGCATTGGCAGTTGTAACATCATCTGTGGAGGTGTACTTGCTCATAAACATTTGTGGAAAATGTTTATGAGCAGCTCAAATTCCTTCTTGAGCAGGTTCTTCTTGATGTTGACCTTCTCTACTTCTTCCCCTTTTCTGCAGAACTTCTTCTTGAATTCTGGCAGAGGGATGTCAGTATCTTCCAAATCGAGTAGAGAGTCCCTTCCTTCTTCTTGCTGAATGTTGAAGATGTTGTTGATGACGTCAGCATCAATCAACACCTCTTCTCCTTGGACGACGGAGGAGATGATTTCATCCTTGAAGGATGCGTTGAGATAGAACTCAACGGTGTCCACGTTGCTGTAGGCTTCATAACCATGAGAGATGACCTTGCTCAGTTGACATTGAGACAGTCCATCAACAATGGAGGTCATTCGCTCCTTTTTCTCTGCGAATCTGGGTAGTACTTCCAGTTCGCATCTCATGCCAGTCAATACATTCTTCAGGAGGGTTGCCTTTTGTTCCTTTGAGAGATCGGAAAAGCTCAAGAAAGCCATGGAGTTTACTGCGGTTAGAAAGTTTCTGGAGAGATAAGAGTTTGAAAGCTTGAAGGTTATGAGAGCAGTAACGGTTTAGGTTTGCGAAAGGGGGTTTTATGGATATGGGTTAGTGGACGTTTGAGATAATTTACGGTTCCAAGATACCAATAAATGTAAAAAGGGGCGCAGTAAATAAACGGGGGCACAGTAAATTTTATACGGCTTGATACCGTTTTAGGGGTAAAAGGGTAAAAGACCTTTAATAAATTACTAGGTCACCCGGTTTACAAGATTTTCTAAGTCGACCACCTTCTGATAGACAAGAGAGGGTTTTTCTGTAAGAAGGGGGGGTTTCTGTTGCGGAGGTGTTCTGCCAGGGTAGGGATCAGAAGAGGTTGACAGAAGGGGTTAAACAGAAGGGGTTCTGCTACAGGAATTCTGTCAATATCAAATGAGCAACAGAGAGTCTTCCTTTTCATCTTTCCCTTGGAATCTCATCCATCATTCCCAATTCCTCTCTCAGTTTGTTGAACCTAGCCTCAGGAAGAGGCTTTGTCAAGATATTTGCAAGCTGGTCTTCTGTTGGCACATGTTCCATGCAGATGTGCTTCTTCTCAACATGATCTCTGATGAAGTGATGTCTGATCTCAATGTGCTTTGTCCTGGAATGAAGAACTGGATTCTGAGTGATAGCAATGGCACTGGTGTTGTCACACAACAACTTGATCTCCTTTGCTTGAATTCCATAGTC